TTGGAGAGAAGGCCATGGTCCCCCGACCAAGCGAAACAAGAAGGCCATGGAGAGATCAAGCCCCAAAAAGTTAATTCCAAACTATTGTAGAGACATGTAGAGACCAAACATGTCAACACATGTTCTACTTGATCATTGGAGACCACCAACAAGATTCACGTCCTGTTCCCTCATCAAAAACCACAAACTTTCCCTCAGCTGTCTCCAAGGGGCTATGCTGCGATTGGATTCACTCTCCACCTGCCTCAGTTTTCTAGCTTTTTGGACAATGAAGGCGAGCCAGAAAGGGCTCCTAAGATGGAGTGGTTTTCTGGAAATCCAAGTGGGTAAAGAATGAATACCCATGCCGCATGCCTGCCGAGGGTTTTGGTAGCTTCGTCTTCTTGGGACCGGGCCCATGCCATTCTGCCTGGTGTTGTGGGCCTCTGACCCAGCAGCCACTGTGAAGAAATCAGACTCGTCAGACCCATGGATCACATCGGAAAGACCTCAAAAAGGGGTGTCCGAAAGACCTTGCATTGGTGTGGGAAAGAAAGAAAACAATCGCATCAGCTCAACGATAGAACTGATCCATGGAGCAACTATGAGCATATATACAGTAACAGGAATGTCACAGGTTGGTATTGAAAGGCCTATCCGCAATGTGTCTCTTCGATGCTTTGCCTCGATGTGTTGGTTTTGCCCATGGATTGGCCGATAGTATCTCTGCTCGTCTTCACAGCTCCGAAGACGGTTTTGAGCGTAGGACACACGCAGTAAACCACTCTTGAAGAGGGACCTACCTGGACCCTCCTGTCGGGGTGTCCAATGGACTACCCCACACTACCTATCGGCTTCCATTGGGCACCCCTTGGAGGGTCTTGGTACGTAGGCCGTAGGCATTGACTGACCGTTTACTGATTGACCTTAGTTGGTGGTCTTGGAGTCAGCAAAGCGCTTCTGTGTGCAAGGTTTAAGCTTCTCCCCGCAGCAACAACATGAACAAAACTGCTGTATGGCCCTGTCTGAGAATGGCCACCAATCCAACATTTACTGAGCGCATACTGTTCATACTGTAGATTAATTTGCAACTAGTCATGAGAATTGCCATTAACGTACATACTTCAGCACTGCACATCGCAGAAGATCGGGCTGCCAGCTCACCCATGTCAAGCACACCTTTCATCTGAAGGAAACAACTTCACAAATTTTGGTCCGCATGTTCCGCTTCCAGGGTGTATCATCACGAGCACATGCTTTGAATAGCGCCGTGTTCGCCGGCCCAGTTCCCATCTGATGGCGCTGTATCGATGTGGCTTGTGGAGCCATGTTTAGGCCAGTGACCACCACGGACGGCCGCGATTTCTACTCTATCCATCAGGTGTTCCTATCCACACCTATCTACACAAACACGAGCAAACAAAATGCAAAGATCTGCATAGGATTGCATATTTTGTATCGTGATCTGCACTTGGCATCGTGGCATTTCATTTCATCCTTTTGAAGCCAGGCCATACATCAAACGCGATCCCGTCTCCGGACCACCCACAACCCGGCGGACCGCCCACAGCTGCGGACGACCAGTGGCTGAAATTTCTGGATGATCTCCTCTGGGTCTCCCAAGACCAACACATCGAAGGCATCGCTACAAATCACGATGTCCTGCCCATGCGACCGGGGCAGAATTAAGCGGCCCTCATGTGATATGCTGTTGAAGGATAGACCATGATAGACCTGTATATAGACAGAATTCAAGTGCAGAGGTGAAATCCACATATCAATCCAGTCAATCCACATGTCCATCAAAGACATGCACCTTTCTCCCCCCAATGCATGCAAGACATGCGTACGTGCCGCTAGCGGTGTCGCCCGTCTGGGTGCTTTCACGTGACCTCTGTGCACATACACCGTACCTAAGAAGGTACGACTGGATCTCTAAAAGACACCCTTGGCGTTTCGACGGAAAATCAAGGTCTACCTGACACCCTCAGTTCCATGGAGGAAGGCTGTGAGCGATCCATGGAGGAGTTTCTCGGGGTGAACCTCCACTCACTGGATGGGACGAACTACACAAACCCCTTTTGTGACTCCTGGTGCGTCATCCTTTTTCCATCTGCTCATATGGTTCAGGGAATCCAAGTCCCCCCCCCCAAAAAAAAGGAAAGTCGATAAGCATCATCCGCTGGGCTCACAGCATTATCTTTCGCTCCGCTCGCAGCCTGGGGAGCGACGCTGTGGACGAAGCGGCGCAGGGCGTTGATCTTTGCACCCAAGCCGTCAGGCATCCAGGCGTTGCTCCCCAAACCCAGCACCTCTCCGTGCAGAGGCGAAACGACCGGAGGTTCCGCGCGCGAGTTCCGCGCGGACAGGGGGGAGGTGAATTAATTAGGGTGGTTTGGGAAGAGTTTTTTTTTGGTTGGGAGAAGGGAGAACAGTCACAAAGAAGAGCTATATATACCATGAGTTACACGGATGATCCACTGTGTAAGGAGGTAGGGATTCCATAGCTCTTACGTCTTAGTGATCCAAACTTATCTTTTGAGCCAGGGGTTGCCTATCATAGTTTCTGGCAACTCCATGGACATGTGGGGAAAAAAAGCTTTACATTCAACACAATCGATTCTGGTGGTGGTTCATGAGTGAGGTACTCAGAATTTCCACCGCTTATATAAACCAGCTGTTCTTTAAATCCATGTCACCGCTTTCAGTCCTTTGAGCGGCGACCATACCGGACATACCCGGGCGCAGACCTTGCCGGTCTCGTGATGTCACCGTTCATCGGGGAAATGCAGGACCTTGGAGCCTACAAACTCGCGCCACTATAATGTATCTCTATTTTTCTTCATAACACCCCTCCAGATGAAAAGGATGTTCCATGATTTTCCTATTGGGCAGGGGTTATTAAGCAAGAGTCTATACACCCTAGGGATCCAGTCGTACCTTCTCAGGTACGGTGATGTGTTCGACACTGTAGATGTGGAGGGTCCAGTCGTACCGAACCTGAGGTTCGGTAGGTACGACTGGATCCCTAGGGACATGAGGTTTTGTTTCTTGTTCGACTCCACGTTGCGGGTCCCCCCGCCTGTGGATAGATGCGGTGCGCTTCAGCCGACACCTGCGCGTTCTTCGGCTTGTTGGAAGCGCGTTTGTACTCGTCTGGGAGTCTGAGTGCAGAACCAGTGGCCATCGAACAGTGGCCCCCCAAAATACGAAAGAACGGGTGGAAATAGAGGCTACATACCCGCATGTGAGCAGAACCAAGCTTGTATAGTGCTGGCAACAGCTGTATTCACCGATAAAGAAAGAAAGACACATGCCATCTTTGATGATCTTTGATGCCAAGGACTCGAGCCATCACTTCCCCGCCTGCAAAAATCCAAAACGCCGATCCATACGATTCAGGAAGGACACCAAATGCAAGGTCGCCGGTGGCATCGCGAGGGCGAGTCATAAACGCATGCGCCGCCGGTGGGGCATGCTGCAAAAGAAACACCAAATCGAAGCTTGAGACATGCTTGGGGCGTTAAAGATCCATACCATTTTCTGGATTAGGCTCTAAGAATCCCGAGTCATGGCCGCGCGGGCCAGGGTGGCCAACCCAGCCACCTAGCCCGTGAGACCGGGGGCTCACAAGGTGTGGTGGTCCAACGTCAAATCTGATAAAAGGGCCCAAACATCAACAACCAAATTGGATGTTTGTTAAACTATATGTGTATATTTTTTTTTCTATGGGAGACCTCCCAGTTCACACCCCACCAAACTTTCTAGAAGGATCTAGAAGGTATGTGTCATGTGGGTGTGTATTAAGATAGGGTGATCTCTCAGTTCGACCCCCTTGGAAGAAGGAATAGACAAGGACTTGTTGGTTGGGGCCCGCATATCCTAGTTCCGAGGCCTCGGGCCAAGGGGTTGGCGTTTGCTGTGGGGGTGGTGGCCATTTGAACCCCTGCGGGTGACGAGTGAGGTAGAGTCCGAACAGATGTGTTCGCGGTTGGGTCGGTCAAGCAATGGAACTGAACGCCGGATATCCCGTCTGGTGAAGTATTCCGGTTGACCCACTTGGAGATCGGCCTGAAGATGCCTGTAGGCAACATGCGACTCAGACGAGCTGGTCATCGTCGGTGTTTTGATTCCCTGTTGGAGGGAGTGCGATCAGAATGACTGGTGCAACCCGGGTAAATGTTGTGGACGAATATCTCCAGCGAAACGCAAGCTTCTTTTGGGCCAAAGACATCGTCACACTCAGCTAATGGTCTTGACTGAGATGCCAAAGGTTGAGAACAACAACGACTGGGCCCCTCTGACGAACACATCACATGGAAGCGGCAAGATGGCCCCCTGAAAGATCCTTTTCCACAAATAGCTAGCTTTCCACTTCCATGTTAGTGAGTCCGAGGGTACAAGCTTTTATTTTCCGCCAGGATGAGCAATGAAAGAAATACACCACTCATCCATGTTTTTTTTTCCCGAAATAGTATCCGCTCCAGTGTAGTCATCATGTTGTCTTGTTGGAGACAAGAGATCCTACCCACCATAAGGATATATAAGGATCCTACACTATACAATGGGTACAATATGGTACAAGTATCTGCCACCCGATTGGGCATCCGATTCCAGGTCTCCATCTCTCATGCCGGGAGTCGGTTCGCCCTATTTTCTTTTCACGCACTTTTATGTACCAAAGAGTCGCGTGTCCATGTAAAGGTTGAAACCAACCATTGCTAGAGAACCGATCGAATTAGAGGAACATCCTAAATCTCATGAATCAAAAAAGGAGTTTGCCATAAGTTTGCCTCACAGTCGGCACCTGTCCGAACACCACTGCCTTGTGGGAGTTGACAAACTTAACCCACGAAGGGGTAGACTTGCGCCAAACATAGCTTCAACATATTGTCAAATGGTCGATGTATATATATATATACACAATAATACCCGTTTGCTTCATGGAAAAAACATGGGAAACTATATATATATACATGTCAAATATCAATGATTATACATGTAGACCTGCAACATGATGTTTACATGGTGTTGATGGACCAGATCAAATCAACCATTTTGGCCCCATCGCCCTGCCACCCCAATTCGGCGTTTTCGTCCCAGCGGACCGTTCTGGCGGGAAGGGGTTCCTTCTCGCAGTCTAAAGTGGTCCCCTTGTGTGGATGCACCACTGCAGGGCAAAGGCTCAAACAACCATCGCGGCAGGAGTCCCAGCAAGCAAATCCCACATGGCAATCCTGTGAGCGGAATCGTTCGGTTCACCAGGATGGTGCAAAGACTTAGGTTTCCTTAAAGGAACCCGGGAAGAAACAAACAGGTAAACACATATTCCCCAGAATAGGGGATTTCACCCGGTATAGGGAACATACAAAATCATCCTGGTCCTAAGCAAAACCAGGAAGAGCCACGTCAAAAACACCCGGAACTGTGGGGAGCTCAGCCACTGTTTGAAGTTGTGGAGTTTGTAGGCCTGGAAGATCTTCGGCAATTCTATGAATGCTCTTGTATTCACACACACGAAAAGCTGAAGATCTTCCAGGCAGATCTGGTTTTTCACACACTCACACACCAATATTTAAAACAACCAGAGCCTAAGTAACTAGCCCAACACGTCCTCAAGGTCATGATCAAGCTGATCTTGTGGTCCAGCATACCTGAGGCTATGTAAACCTAACCTTCATCATCTAGGAATATACACGAATCCTGTAGTTGTTGATATTCACTCACGGATCACCATCCACAGCAGTTTGATGAAACATATCTCCACATTCTTCCAACTATAACCTTATATATACATATATAACAAAAATATCCAAATGTGTCTGCACAGTCCATTCGTATCCAAATCCAATCAGCATATCCAAAGATTCACGCTTCATAGATCTTCATAGTTCATAGTCGATATATCTCCACCATATGTCCCTTTCACTCCCCACCAATGCCCCCCACGACCGTGAACCCGAACGAAACCCGTTTCCGCGCCTCGCAGGGTCGATCCCACAGGAGCTGCGACTGGCGCCAAATGGACCACGGGCGATTCCAGAGCTGTGGAACTTGCGCTTTCAGGTAGAGGAACCTGGGAGAGAGGAACCGAGCCTTGGGGTGCGCGCTAACTACTAGGTATGGCCTTTTCTTCTTCATGGCGCGAGACAGATGGATTCTCACGGGCGCGGGAGCGCCTAATCTTCGGCGGAAGTGTTCGAAGTCGCCAGGATGGATTGTTCGTTTTTGTGCTTGGGAGGTTTCTCGCAGGTTTCAAGTCGCCAAGAAGTAGTGGGTTTCGGGGGAAGGGCTCGGTTTTGAAGCCAACTCGCCAATCAGAGTCGCGTGAAACCTCGCCAGGGTCGCTCCATGGGTCCCAAAATCGAAGCCGAGTCGAAAGTGTCTCCCACCGGAGCTCCATCCTTCAACGACCCGAGCTCCGGTGGAGTCCGGCAGGGCTGGACTCTGCAAATCGCCATCGGCCGGAGGACGGGACGGGTTGTCTTATCTAGCTGCGAGGTGACCAGGTCAAGCCATCCGCCCAGAAGGGGTTGAAAAAGGTGTGACATGGATTCATCTCTGAAGGTGAAGCCCTGCTGAGGACTACATATGTTTTTCATATATGTTTATAATTATATATACTAGCTCATATATATTATTCAAATGTGTGTTTACAATATGTTTACTAATTATACGTTTAACAATATGGCATCTGAAGCTCTGCTTCGCTCCATCCCAAGCGAGGAACCGATCAGACCAGGACCAGCTCGGTCCACATGCACATCGCACCTTGCCTTGACTCTGGAGCATTGAATGGATGCTATGCTGGTTTTGATGGAACAAAGGAACCATGTTTTTTCCAATGATGCGTGTCCCAGGCAACACATTGATTGCTGGTGATCTTCGTCTAAGTCTACGACAATACTCCAAATGATTTGGACTCTTTACCACAGAAAGCTCCAAGACTGCCGCCATGTGGCAAGAATCCAGGCATCCCAAGCACTGCAGGTTCCGCTCCACATCCACTGACTCGTCTGGCTTCCCACGCAGGGCCGCGTCTGGCTTCCGCCCGGGCGGCGGAAGCAGCGCAGCGTCGAGATCGCCGAAGAGGCCTGTAATCTGCTGATCCTCGGGGTTCCTTTTCACAGACAAGTTGGCAGACAAGGCGAAGTCCTCCCAACACATGTCTTGAACAGGATACATCTCCTCCAGATCCTCGGGCGCACATGAGCTGGATGATTGTGTAGTGTGATGGAGGGCCCGGAAAACCCTTTCTTTAAGTAGGGAAGAATGTGGACGGTGCATGATGGCAATGGAAACTATACAGAAAGGACATCTGAATCTATGACCGCGGAGCCCATTCCAAGCCGCGACTTGGGGGGGAGTCTAGACCTACACCCATAGTGTAGACTCTTGGAAGAGGTTTAATGGATAGTTTATATAGTTTCATCAAAAAGAGGTTTTACATGGTTTTATTATCCAAATGGAGAGTTTTGATTCATCAATAGTTATGCCATATGAGCTGTGTCGAAAACCTATTGGAAATGGCTTTGTAATCCTAGCATCCTTTCGCGACAGGCTATCGCGGTCCTTTCGCGACCACAGTCTTACCTTTCGCGGGCATACACTATTTGATACTCTTTGCTCAGTCCTTTCGCAGGACCTTTCGCGAGAGAAGTTGGGAACCACACATATAACTTTACTTCGAATGATCCCCACCATGACATTTCAATGTTGTGTGATTGTGTGTTTTGCGTTGAGCTCCAGTAGTGCCCACTGCGATCTGGCACTTGCGGTTGAGGTCCGGTAGCGCCCACTGCGATCAGGCACTTGCAGGAGGGGAAGGAGGAGGAAGAGGAGGAGAAGAACCTCCTTCTGAGAAGAGCTCTGATATAAATCCAACAACCCTCGCCTCGCAGGTGGGGAACAACATGCGTATACCTCTACATATGCATAATAATAAATCTGTATTGCCTCCTTCTAGCAAATTGTCATTTTCACGTGGCAAGTAGAAAATACAAATCGATGGGCTACATCCTGAACATGGAACCGTCACCTTTCTCAAGCCTTTCGCGAACCTTTCGCACGCCTTTCGCGGATTTTCGACCTTCGACTTCGAGAAACCCGTGGTCAAAACACGGTTTATTGTATTTTATTGTATTTTATTGTGAGAATTCCTTGCTTGCTATCTGACTCGCCCACCATGGGCACTGGTGCAATACAGAAAAAACCGTTCAGTTTGGGGCTAGAAACGTCCCTGTATATATATCTACGCAAAGCTCTCATGGTGACAATGGCGAAGTTGCATCAAAGCAGCGTAAAGAAAAACAGCTAGCACTGGAAACAAATCCTACATATCATCCAAAACGTCCTTTCGCATACTCCTTTCGCAACCATTTTTTCATGGTGTCTTTCGCAACAGCTTTCTCGAAGCTTTCGCGACTTAGGTTTTGCCTTTCGCGGGGGTTATGTCAGGACAACTGCATTACAAAAACTCTTCATGGAGGTTTTTGACGTGGCTCATATATATATATATATATATATGCCATAATATGTCTTCACCCTGAAGCCACTAGGCAGAACCGAGTCTCCGAGTCCTCACTCTTCTCCAGTGCAGACCTTGGTGCACCCAGACCCAGAGGGTCTGGGACCGGTGATTCAGCGTCTGGGGCGGTGAGCTCATGTTCACGGAGCGGCCAATTGGCTGGCCAATTGGAAGGGTTGGTTTGGGAAGATCAATGAAGCCGGCTTACTTGTATCAGCATAACATTGTTTAACCAGCAACACATCAAAGACTCAACCCCCTTTGTGCACACTGGACCTGCCCTGGCCTGCAACCAGCTCCGCTCCCAAGAGTGTGGAAACATGTCCTGCAGTCCTGATTTGAAATACGGCACGATGGGTTCTTCAACATGACTTCTCTTTTGACTCACAAGCGCCTGACGAAAAGACCTGCGACTGTCCAGGGTCCAGGGGCCTCGAATTCTGCCAAACTGACCGACCAGGAGGCAAGAATGTGGTGATCTTGAAGACGCTCCCAGGCCCAGCAGAGTATCCGTTTCGGGCTGCGTAGCGCTCGGCTTGCCTGACGACGCCCATGCCCAATGCGAACTCGGGCGGCGGCGAACTGTGCTTGGTCCAAGTCAATACATTGGGTCTATCCTAATACCAGGGCCCAGTGGATGATGCTGGTTAGGTTGCAGGCCTTGTTCAAAAATAGTGATAATCATTGTTTACCGACTGTTGCAGGTAATAGGACAGACTCGATCAATAATAACACTATGTTGATCTATTTTGGGGTGTTTCATTGAAGGATACTGCTGTTGACTGTCCACAAATCCACAGTCATTTCTTAGTCTTGTTGTCCACTTTGGGCCTCTGTGGAAATATGGGTCAATCGTCCGTAGCCACTACCTTCTCGCAGGTCTGAGTAGGAACAACAGCAACACAAACATCATCTAACAAACATCCTCCACAACAGGAACAGGAACAAACAAACCAAACAAGCTAAAACGCAAAGCAAAGAACACCCCATCGACCAACCGTGTTCTACCGTGGTTTGTGTTCTACCCGTAGCCACCGGCCTGTCGGACTGTCTCCCGTGGCCTCTTCCGCCGTGGGTCGCCGGGCTGCGGCGAACCCGCCGTCCGCGCCGTAAAGAGCCCCACTGAGCGGTTCCGCGGTTCGCCGAGGGCGAAGGAATCCAAAAGGAATTGGGGGACATGTCTGTTTTCAGGAACCGTTTGGGGATTGGATTTAGGCCTTCCCTATTTGGGCCTTGGTAAGTCACGACCCATCCCATGTAATTATGTGGGCATATGTTTAGAGTGGGTCTTAAGGGCTGGCAGACCATCCCCTTGGCTTTGAATGCAAGATCAAGACTTTATGCTTTGGAAGTTTCTGGATGTTTATTCCTCCCAAATTGAAAGAACTTGGAACCACCTAGCCAGTGAGCATGTGTACTGTATCCATTTGCATCTGTTCTGTTTCTTCTACGCAACACGTACGTATTTCTTGAGAACGAAAAAGCCGTGTCCCACACTCAGTGGCTGTGGCATCCAAGTTGCAGTGGGTGTTGGCAATGTTGCCTTGGGTCGCGAGGTCCACATCCTTGGCGAGTCCACGGTGCGGGCATCGGTTGTCTGGGGAACGACACAGAGGAACCCCGACTCAGTCGGTTTTGGAGCTGGGATCAACGAACATGGTACGAGCAAGAGCAAACAACAACAAAAAACACTCAGACTCGGATGTCAATCGATTCTTTGTATCTTTGCCTACCCCAGCATGTGGCCCATGTGTCACACGTCATCCATATACCACCTGATTATGCTGCATTTGTGTTGTCCCTATTCTCGTTCTGCTCCATTTTGCCTCTGGTATCTGTTGCACTAAGTTTCTGTCATGTCTGTTTGTTCAATCAGTCCGTGCAACTGTCTGCATCGCTGTCTCTATGTGGTATCTATAATCTATAATCTATGTTGTCACATCGGCTTCAAACAAATTAGCGCAAGTCATGAACAATCGTTCTCGCAAGCTTTTATTCCATCCTTCACTTTTGTCTAAATAATGTCTGATTTCCCCTCACCTGCATAGAACTCCCCTACCCAGCTACTTCTTTCCTCTGACACGGGGAGAACTTTGCTTATCGCAACGAGTCGCAACGCCTCAGTGCCCAAGTAAAAAAATTGCCTTGCTTCAGCTTTGCATGACGCTTCAGCGCCTACGTGAATAGTGCCTGTGACTTCCTTTTTGTGGTGCAATCGTTGTGGGAAAGGTTGTCTTGTAGAACAAAAGGGACCCAAAACTGCCCAAAGTAGCCCAAAGTCCACAGCTTTTTGCAAATTAAATTCTAATTGTTCTATTTTCTTAAATTATCTTGGTTGCAAAACTGCCCCTATCTGTCGCGAAATGAACATGACACTTGTTAGCCAAACTGTTTCGATTGTTGCCAGAAGTAAGTGCGGCTCGACTGAAATGACACAGTTTTAAAAGATGTTCCAATGAAGTCTGTATGTGCTCAACCATCCAACAGGGCTGCTCCGAAGACTCACAAAGGTTCCCTCCCAAGCACGGCTACCTGGTAGCTTTGCAGGGCTTACCGCGGAACCGCGGCAATCGCGCTGGGTTGATGAAGCTCGTTCCGTCGATGTGAACAAATCTTGGTAACCTATGCAATCCTCAGTTTGTGGACTGCATGTAAAACCGGCTGCTTGATGGCTGAGTCTTTCAGGCAGCCGGCTGAGTCTTTCACTTGCTTTCCGTTTTTGCAGCTGTGCAAGAGAATAGGTTTCCTCAGACCTTGTGCAGCTACTCTGATCTCCGGTCGTCACGAAGTCGGAGAAGCCCAAAGCAGGCAAACGAGCTGCTGCGGCATACGTCTACGTCTACAGTGGTTTCAGAGGTTCGATGGCACAACCCCCCAAAGACATCTTGGAGGTTGTGCCATCTACTCTGAAACCACTGAAACAGTCTTGAACTGCCACATGCGGGTCATCACGCGCCACTAATGCATTCCTGCTAACGCGCTAACAGTCTTGAACTGCCACGTGAGGTTCCACACAGCCCAGCTCCAGCTGCAAGCAAGCCGCGAAGAATGGTGGAATATCAAACCCAAACGATTGAGCTTGGGTTACCTCATATTCGATATGTTTGGTAATATTTGGTAATAGTCTTAATCCAAACGATTGAGCTATCTTGCTTATATTACCTCACCTCACCTCACCTCACCATGACTGAATTATCTTGGCTCGTCTTAGTCTTGCTGGCATCCCCACCTATATATCCAATTATCAAGCTGAGGCTGCCTAAGTGATCTAACAATTCTAACAATACTCTTCTCTCAAAATGTGCTCTAAGACTCAACGTGTCTTCTCTTTCCGAACATCGGCTGGCCTACTGCCCATGGTCTTATTTGTCTGTGTCACTATGCATCATCACGAACCATGTCGGTTCCATTACCCTTGTATGTCTCCAAGCTGATTCAATGGTTCAACGACCCCAAGAAGGGATTTTGAAGAAAGGAGAACCGAAAAATTGAAAGGGCTGAGTTCCGCCCTTGAAAGCTCTTCAACCCCTCAACTCCCCTTCAGCTGCAAGCAAGATGGCTAATCTTGGGAGGTTCCTTTCCTTCCAAGCTCACTTCCAAGTGCCACAAACCTGAAACCGGCAGACTGCACCGTTTCTCCGACTCCGCCTAGGCACTGGCAAGCCGCGTAAAGGTCTCAGCATCCGAGTGTCCTGGACGTGCCGGACACGACTTGGACATGCGAATTACCAGTGTACCTTGAGACCTTGAGAGACGTTCTTCGGCTTGGAACATAGCATTAAATGCTTTTTTACTTGAATTTTAGTAAGTCAATCAGGAGACGTCTGACGTCTATATCAGTGGGGAAGAATCAGGAAGTCTTTTGAAAGTCCAAGATGTTCTTCACTGTTCTCAAGACATACCGGGACACTGTTAAAAAGATATCGCCACATAAGCAGCTCAGCTGCACATCCCATGGCATGTGAACCTGCAAAATCACTCCCTGGGACCGCAAATCACTCCAGTTAGAGGTTCGATGGCGCTGTTGGGCCCCCGCAGTTGGGTGGTCTATACGGTCTCCCCAGTCTACCACATCGGTGTGCCAGTGCCATCGAACCTCTGATAGCCCACTGTACCAAGTACTGTACCACTGTGAACTATGCCAGTGTGACGGTGTTTGTCGCTATGCATGGTGTAGAACTGCTCAATGTTCGAACGGCGGGGTGAGGGGTTTGGTCCCAAATGAATTGAGGATCGCTGAGGTCTTCAGACCTCATCACACTGCTAGAACAGCAGAATCCTCATGGTGTTCCCGAAAAACGAAGGTTTTGCAGGTCATCCACTTTTCCTGGGGTAGGACGGTGACAGTAGCAAACCAGTAGTTGGATGTGTGCAAAACTCAGCGCTTGAATCCACTTGACATTGTCGCATGTGCATTTGTTTGAGCCAGCTACAGCTACAGCCAACCACCGGTTTCTTGTGGGGTCTGAGTCTCGGATCCCATCGTGAAGTCCTCCTCCCAAATCATCAGGTACTTGGCCCCTTGTTCGCGTGCCCAGCGAGCTGCATCCGCCAGGCGTAAGAGGTGCCGATGACACGTGAAGTTGGCGTTCATGTACCTCAGGAAAGCACAGGTGTTGTTCCAGGGAATCTACTGCTGTCCCAATTCTGGGATGAAGCTTTCAGTGTCCCAACTACGTAGCAGCTAGACAAAACGACATCTTGCCAATCATATAGAAACTGGTTGACAAATCCAACGACCATGACCTGATCACCCGAAAGGCCCCTCGGTGGGCAGGGAAGAAGAAGTACTACACCCGGCAGTGCAGTGTTTCTCCGTGACGGCAAATGTTTTATCACAGGAAGTACTCCCCTCTGCAGATTTAACACGGAAACCACTGTGTTGTAGAATGTTGTAGAGGTTCAAAATGGCCTTGCACCGGTCAATTCTCAGGTTCCATGTTATTTTGCGGGAGGGCACCAAGGCTTCAAATTCAAATGGCTTCGGTGTTTCATCAGGAGCTTCGCCGCAGAGCTCCCTGCGTTTTGCCAGGCAGCTGAGCCAAGTGCATCGGCATCTCCTCCCAAAGATGGGAGAATGAAACACAAAATGTGTCACACTCCCTGAAATACCCTCCCGCAAACTAACATGGAACCTGTGAATTGACCGGTGGTTTCGACCATATTCCGAATACCAACCCGACGTGGTTTGGGGGTTCCATGTTAATCTGCAGGGGAGTAATCAAGAGTGGATGACATGGCTACTTGGATGACCAGTTTAGAAGACCAAACAGGTGGTTGTCAGAGGTAATCCATCATTCTTTCAGGGAGTGTCCTGATGAATACCGTCTTCTTCATCCCAAGGGAGGATCACAGTCCCTTTGAGACTCACTCTGACTCTGGAGACGGAGAGTAGAAAGGCAAGACAATCCTTGGTGCTACACCACACCAGCTTCTTTTCCCAGTGGTCGCCGAGGTGGCTACACGACACGATGTGACCCTTGACCATTGGGCCAATTGATCCACTCGCCGGAGCCAAGCCCAAATCGACTAGACACAAGCTGAACATCCAAGGGAGCGTTTTTCAAGGAAAAAGCCGACATGGATTATATACATACAGATCCATCTGCCTGCACCTATTGAAGCTGGTGGACATACCACAAACATGCGTCCCACAAGATCTATCATATCCGTTTGCTTCTGTGCCAGAGATAGCCGCTCGATTCGTGCAAGTAGCAGAGCCCCCATAGAGAAGGTGGTAGTTGGAGTCGGAGCCCTAAGGAAAAATAGTCAAGGAAGCTGCGGATCTAGATTTTTCTTCACTGAACATGTCACCAACACACTCACGCTTCAGGATGGTCTCAAGGTTCGCTGACAAGCAGGAAATACCTGTTGGACTGAGGTGTCCCCAATCCCGAAGGTGTTGCAGGTCATCCCCTTCCTGCAAAAGATAGAGATGACATCTGGACATCTCCGCGAGTTCAAGGGCCATCCCCCCTACCGCTCTTCCGCTCTCCACCGGTGGATCGCCCCCCCCCCCCCCCCGCCGCGCGGAAGGCGTGGATCGTCCACTTCTCCGCGAGGCTCTGAAACCTGGGCTCCCCGAGCGCTCGGTGTTTGGGGGACGAACATCGGGGAGACGAAGGCGGGGAGACGAGTCTCATGCAAAGAACAGTGGTGGAACCCAGTCTTTCCCAGTCCAGCTTTTTTTTTCTTCAGCTGGACGGACTGGACTGGGAACCCTGCTTTTTCGCTTACATAGCTGAAGTTGAAACATTTGTACCTTTGCTGCAGGTGATGTAGTAGATAGTTTCACCCTATGCGTCGATGGGTTTTGTTTGAATGAGGGAATGCCTATTTTATCAATTTTTGTCGTATGTTGCACTCTGTTTGCCAACCAAAACCGTGGAAGATCCACTGAACTTCTTAGAGCTCAAACCTCCGGCAAAGGCCCTGCAGCACTCCAGCTGTATGACGACTGATGGGCAAGTCATCTGCCCTTACAGTTTCCAAGTGATCCATTCTACTTCATGTTTACTTGCAAGGGACTGGATCCCAAGTCGGTCGATGGTAGTCCATCCAACAACATCGAGGAAACATGTACTTCTACTCCTCCAAATCGACCGCGTGCAAATACAGTCAATGCAGTCCATTTGGAATGGGAACATTCTCTTCCAGAATCTTGGAGCGTGGTCTCTTTCAGAAACAAAATTGGGTCGAGTCTATACTATTACCGGAGCCTACTCGTGGATGATGATGGTTACTAAAGGCCGACTGTTCAAAAATATAGTGATATATAAGATGTGATAAGTGATAGCCCTTTACTGACTGTTACAGCTAATAGGACAGACCATGACAGACCCAAATCATTGATGTTGGAAACTCTAACACATGGCCGTTGACGAAAAGCCCTCTGCTTGCTACAAGGACAAATTGTCCAACACCCATTTTGCCGTTTTCGGTGCGTTCTGCTTGGCAGAATGCATGATCATGAATGATCTGACTTCGTGATATTGAGGAAATGTGTGCAGAACTCAAGGAAGGCGAAGCATTTGATGTCAAGAACCAAGCATTCTATCAACATGAATTCCTCTTCTGCGTTCCTCCCGCCTCAAATCCAAAACCAACTCTTTCCCTCGCATCCCTCCCTCATATCGGGTGGCGAGGGCCCCCCATCACTGATGAGATAGAAGGGTGCCTCGGGAAAGTGCCTTCGCACGCTGGCGATGGAGAATTCCATCCGACGGGAGACCTGCACGGAAGGGCGAAAAACGGGCGAACGCACGAAAAAACGGTTGGAACGTCCGGACGATGTCATTCAAACAGCAGAAGTTTTGTAACTTTTGATTGATGCTGATTGGATAGTAACTCAGTTGATTGGATAGAAAAGCACCACAAATACTATGGTCAGGTCAGTGATTTGCGTGACGGTTGAATGGTGGAATGGGCGTTTCGAAACCGCCAGGACCATCGACCATCTTCCGGACCAGTCCAATGAACAGCGGCCATCTCCGCGGCCTGATTGGTCTGGAAGAAGAAGGCCAAATCTTTAGGGCCCAGGGCGATCCACCCTGGAAGCTGTTCCTCCGCTGGAATGGCTCGCTTTGTGTGGCGAAAAAAAAGGAAACCGCAGAAACTGAGTTTCGAAGCACGAACTCCACTCGATGTGTTTTTCTGGTGCTGTCGGTTGTCTGATTGGACACATCCATGGCTTCCATGTTTCCATGGAACATCCGTTTTGCTTTGCTTCCTTCTTCGCTTCCTGTGACCGGAAACACGGCGGTTATATCGCTCGCTCCGTCTTCGCGCCCAGATCGGGCGGTGGCGACGCACGAAGGGAGCGATGCATGGTATAGAACTGGTACACAGCAATCCTCAGCAACATCGAAATACATCTATCGCACTCGGTCAGTGCTTTGGCAAGAACAAAGCACGAGACGAACGCAGCACGAGACGAACGTGAAGATGCAAGGCGGTTCGCCGAATAAGTACGTGTCATACAGTCAACAGTCTGTACCAACATGTACCAAACTGAACATGTGGATCGGGAAGAGTCTTTTCTACCAGGTGAGTGTTAGGAGTTAGGAGTAGTGAGCAACTGGGATGTAAAGGGAATGTTTCCAGAAAATATGCGGAACAGTGAGATTGGCTCCTGATGTCCCGACTTCCAAACATGGATCCCTTCGTGCGGCTTGAAGGGAACCAGGATGATTTCAAAGGGCCAGGTCGCACCGGTCGCACAGAGCAGGTCGCGTCCTTTGTCCCACCGAGGATCAACACCAGCAAGGCCAAAGCCCTTCGCAGCGTGGCAAACATGGCGCTCTGCAGTGGCACAACGCCCGCTCATGGGCGGGGGGTCTCCGCCAGCGGTGGCAAGACGCACGCGAGGCATTTACAGTCCATCGGTCAAGCAGAAGGATGCAAAAGGCAGCAATTTGATGTCACTTGTCCAGAAACTGATGAGTTAACTTGTCAAAGTGACATAAATTGCTACTTGTTTTAATTTGATGAAGTTACTTCTCTTTGTTACTTGTTTTGATGTTAGTTTGGTAAGATTTGTCTCAAAACATCTCAATACTGTTCCAACCAGTGTTGCGCATGGAGTTCTTCTGCTCATCAACGACGCACAAAAAACATCAGAGTGAGGGGTCAGGCCACAGGGAACTCCACAAACTGCTGGTCAGAGGGAGAGTTAGCTGAAACCATGGGTTTAGTACTTCAACAGTAAACTCCCCAACCAATACGTTTTTGTTTACTCGCATCCAAATACTGTCTGCTCATTGAGAGACTCCTATCGAGGTTCACCATGAGCTTTCTTTCCCATCTCCTTTTTTACCGGACAAATGAATCATGCAACAGTAGCTCAGTGGTCTAGACTAATCTGTACCAATATATGGGCCCCACTTTGTTCGCTTTTCTCAGGTTTGATTTCAATTTCTTTGTTTGGCATCGACTAAGTTGTGGCTCCAAGCTCCATGGCTGCAGGTCACTTCTATGACACACGCTGGTCTAGAATCCCCAGTGGAATGGAGGCAAACCAGTATGTTCCAACCCAAGGGCTCGTTACCCACTCCGGGAGGTTTAATTGTCAAAGCGTTTGACTCACAGAATGACATAGATGCATTTCAATTGCCTCAACTTGTCAACAAATATATAGATCTTCCACATGACAAATCTACTCCCTAAATGGTTAAAACGCGGATCCACCAGAAGTAGGGCATCCAAGAAACATTGGAGGTTGAGTTGCGACGACTTCATATAGGCATTAATCCTTTTCACACCATTCACGAAGAAACCCCAGCTTTCCCTCCCCTTCAATTTAGGGCATCGATGCCTCTCAACCATCGGGTCTCTTCTTGGAACAGCGGGACGCTCGATCTTTAGATCCCATGCACATCATGCACTCCCCAGTGGTTTGAAACTCATTTGCCGGCTGAAGTTGGCAAATGCGGAGAACCATTAAGCCAAGTACAGCTTCACTTCGACCCTTCATGATCCTTCCATATCTTTCATAGGCTCTTGCACATGCCTCTGCTCCCCAAAGCCGGTGACGTGACGACCAATTTAGGCCTGGTAGATTTGGGGTGCTTGGACTCCACCTCAACGGTGACGACGTTGACATTTCCGACAGTCGGCTTGATTGCTACATTATCCTATTCTGCATGTTCTATCCCTTTTCCATAGCCATATTCTTGCTATACTGAACGGCATCCTATTGTTGTTCTTGGGGGTCTTTGCTGTTGTCCTCAGGGAGCGACTTCCACTCAGTCTCTGGCCAAAAAGAATAATCCTGAGGTCATGACTCAAGCCCGAGCCCCTTTTTGAACGCTAGTGCTTCTTGAAGCCTTGGAGCCCCTCTTCGCGCGAAAAGCACCGCAGCATCCAAACGGCAGCCAGCAGGGGCCACAGAAGCAGCAAGGCTATGCCAAGGCATAGGACTACACTGACGATGTCAAAGAGCCGAACTGGGTTCTCAAGGCATGTCCTTAAAAGCGAAGAACATTCGACTGACTCGAACCCGCACACCGCAGTGTCACACTCGAATCTCTCATCTCGTGTGGTAGATTTGACATGGGTATATCATATCCCAACACCAGCAACAGTGGATGATGAATGGTTATTGGTTAGGCTTTTCCCAAGAGTTGTTCGATGTTTTGGTTTGATCATCCTTCATGGACACCCTCCAGTAATACACTGCTGCCATGCAATGTTGATGGTTTTTTGGACAGTTGAAACCTTACTGATTCCCAGGATTGACCATGCTAGAATGTGTTTTTGTTGCTAAGCACGTCAGCACGTCTTGGTCGATTCTTGCTTGAAATCACTCATGTTGCATTGATCTATCGTTTTGTTCAAGAGAAGCCCAATCAAAAACCGGAGAAGCCCACTCCCCACTGTCTACTGGGCGAGTTGCACCTCGCCCCACCAGTTGAGATAATGAGCATCGCAGACCCTGGCTCCGGTCGACTCCTCAATCAACTTGTGAGAAAACCCAGAGTACCGTCCAGGACCACTGAGCACAATACCTGAAGTCGAGTTGAGTCAGAAAAATCACACAGCTTGTCTCAGTATGGCAAGGTCAAACGGAAATCCAACAAGACAACATACAAAAACACCCCCTGCTGGATATATGACCCTGACCTGTGACAAGTTTGACCCGAAGCCCGTGACAGTTTTTTTTTTTTTTTTTTAATTGTAGCTCCCACAAATACAGATTTGAACTTGTCAGAATAGTTTTGGATGATACTATGATCTGTTTTATCAACGTTTGACAATCCAGCACACTCCAGCACCCACTCAAGCACACAAAAACAATATACCTCCTCATGACAAGAAGATCACAAAATAACTATATCCTGGCAAGGAGCTTGTAGATTCCAAGAGGGGATTGGGTCGGTTGAGTCTGAACATGCAGGGGCAAACTTGGCACCTCGCCCTGTGGCACCTCCCTTCATATCATTAGTCAAGAGGCTATCAGCTTGGGCGATGCTCTTGCCTTGGCTTTGAACATTGCAAGACTGCAGGGCTCTCTGTTGTGCTTCAGAACTCTATTGTGTGAGGAGATTGAACGAACATCAGCCTTGCTGTGTGTAGCACGATCTCTTCTGCTGTGCAAGCTATCTTCTGCTGGCTGGTATCTCCCCGTGATATCGACAAACATATTGCCCACACATCTCAAATCCTGGCCCTGGCCTCTCAAAACTAAAAACCATTTGAACTATATGTTGGGTAAATCCCATTACCAGTAACAGCGGCTGATGATGGTTAGGAAAGTCCTTGCTCCGAAATTAGTGATAATAATATTTTGGCAACTGCCACTGGTAATGGGTCACACTCACACCCTCACTAATTAATATGTCTTTCATCCCTTCTTCCAATTCAACTGCGCAACTGCTCTCCATCGATCCTCAGCTCTGGCCGAGGGGCCATTCCAGTTTCTGGCCGACGCGCATCTGCGATAGGCCTCGATCTGCCGCATGGGAGGCTTAGCATGCCACCCCGAAGAGCCAAAGATCAAGTACCACACGAAGAACATGTCCACTGAGCCCGCCTGTCCGGCACTTGAAGTATGCGAGCCGCTTTTGACAGCCAATGGCTGAGAGCGGCTTGAACGAGCCGTTTCGATGGCTCCAAAAGGTAAGGATCTGTGGAATTCGCAGGTTTGTGTCTTCCCTGGCGGCCAGTGGGGTGACTGGCAAAGGCTGAAAATTGAGTCAAACTGGCCTGAGGCGCGAAGGTGGCTTGAACAGGACAGGGGTTGTTGGACCGAACTCTCTTCCAACTTCCAAGTGTCTTGTTGAGGAGAATGATTAGTCGACACAAGCACCTATCCCAGCCACATCGATCTCGACAAGAAATGGAAGTACCAGTAGCAAGCGACGTTTCCATCTGGCATATATATATATATATTAGGTCACCGAGCTCAACAAAAGCGCGTCTTCCTTCTGAGTTTAAAGAATGAAAAGGTGTGGCCAAGGAAAACACCAACTGAGACCTGTTGGCAGAGAGACAAAAAGGGTACAGTATAGAACATGTTTAGAAAAACAAACAAAAGAACATCAAAATCAGCCAGCATCTACTGCTGAAAAAGAAACAATCAAAATAACGTGAAATGTGAAAACGGATCTTCCGATCTTCCATAGACCATGGACTTTTGATCCAAACCATGAGGTTATAAGTTGTATGAGTCAAACCAAAACCCATTTGAGTCTGACTCTGGAACCATTTCCCTGGTAAAATACAGGTTCTATAAGTATGACATGTTCCACCTGTTGGTTTTTAATAAATTAATTCCCCCCCAAAAGAAAGGTTGGCCAGATTATCCACCGCCTTCGACCAACGGCGGGATGGATGGCACCGGGGTGGCGAGTCGGCCCGGCCGAACCGAAGGAGGACTTCCACTGGAAACGAACCACGGTCACCACGATCTTAAAAGCTAAGTGGATCTGACGATTTGTCTATCCCACGTGTGGCTTTCGATCTACATGGACTCTTCAAAAACATCACCTACAAGTAAGTGGAAAGGAGCGAAACACATCTTAAGCTGCAAACATGAGGCCCATCTCCCTGCCACCCCCAATCCATCTGTGCATCAAGGCCGCCACCGGGCGCCCACCGCCTGGCCTGGTGGGTGTGTGGCACCAAGAGCTCCCGCAAGGAGCTGGCCTGGCGGGGGAACATGAACTCATCCAAATCCAGCCTTGGATTTGCTGAGTTTGAGAAAGCCGGACAGAAAAACATTAAGTTAAACATACGTTTCACCAGCTGGGGAGATTCACCTAGTTCGGGAGAACACACATCACCCGGAAAAAAACAACAACCAAAGAAAACTGTAAAACCTCTTCCAGCTGGGGAGATTCACCCCAAACGTCGGGACAATGGAAAACGAGGACCCGAAAACCTGCCAATGGCGCCCAAGGCAAGCAGCTGGGCGATCCAATATGTCGAAACTTCCTGGACGATCCGTTTCACCTCGGGCGAGTTCTCGGCATTTTCAGGTGGACCGGTGAAAAGGGAGCGCTTCCTTTCTCGACTCAAAAGGCATCCAAGATCCAAAGCCACCCTAATAGTATTCCAAGTGGGCTGTAGCATGTTCTATAGCTAATCATTATCTCCATCAAACACAATCCACACCTACTTCCCTGACATCAATTTCCTGACACATCTACTTTCATCCACGGTCTTCCCATCGATTCCTCCGGCTCCAAGGGGCGGCTGCAGCTCGAAAGGCCTCTTCTTGGGCACCGCCAGATCCACCTCTGAGATCCTTGGACTTAGAAGAAGACCCAGCGATGACATGAGAAGGATCCACATGAACTCCATTGGCACTTCTCTTAGAGCAGCCCATACTTAACGGCTTGAGAAGTGCCAAAAGCTCCACATGAACTCCACATGAACTCCAGAAGAGATCTTCTATTACTCTCGCACATCTTCTAGCGGTTAGCCAGTTCGGGTGCCGTGAGTGACCTTGGTTTTAACATGCTAGTCACTGCTAGTCCAGTTCTGATCATCTTTTGAGTTCAAACCAGCTTCTGAAGGATATGAACTTGCAAACAAACATTCTTCCACTTCCTCTGAAAGGTTCGGTTCACCCGGTTCGCATCCTTCAGGACACACGGCCGGCTCGCGAGTTCCCTGGAATATCAGGCCCTAGCCTTCCAAGACCTCTGAGTAAAACAGTGGTTCTGTGGATGTTATTTGATAAGCACTAAGCTCACTAAGCACCGTAAACAACCATTATCAATCAATGGTGCTTGGAATCCTAGGGAAAGGTTGGTCCTTTTCAATCTGTTCATCTTCAATGAGGTGTCCCCCACCCAAAAAGCTTGGGCAGTACATGGCAGTACCATCCACATTATATACTTCCTGGGAAAAAAAGGCCAGTTGGGAAGGCTGCAAGATGCTCTCTGAGCTCTCTGCAAGCTCTCCAAGCTCTCCGAGGAAAGCACGTCTTTTTGGGTTTAAATGCGAGCCACATTTGTATACCAGCAGTTCCAAAGGAATGTCCGAACTCCCCCAAAAGTAGATCCGTTTCAAATCCATGTATCCTTCGCCTTCAAATTCCACGTCATCAGCTCGTCCACCGGCACACAGTTGCCATCCACATCGATTCGACATGGCCACAGCTCTACCACTCCATTGGACACGTAATCTTTCAGTAGTTCTCCCGTGGAGCTCACGTTTCGAGCATCATAAATCACAAAATGATCCATGCCCGCAACAGTATGGAAGTCAATCCACTCCAACAAGTACTCATCTTCCACGGTGCTGAAGAGATTCACTTCCAAGACCGCAGTAATGAAGTGCGGTCGTGGTGTTCCTTGATGATCTCTACCCATTGCATGGAAACGTTGAAGCCTCTCTGACCATGGCAGGGTCTTCAAGGAATCCTCAAAGGGACTGGACACAGCAGTCAGGTGAATAGTTGAAAAGATTGGATTGGACAACTCTGCAACCAAGCCATCAACAAGACTCCAGGTATAGGCCAAGACTCCATCAGGGGCAAGAAACGTAAAATCCGCCTGGCGCCTTCGCAGTCGTTCAAGTGTTCTTCTTCCTCCCTTCGCCAAAAGTCCTGCATGTCAGAAGCTAGGAATCCTAGAGGATGGGAGAATCCTAGAGGATGGGATCCAATGGGACCTTCGGTAGGTAGGCCTCCAGACTGTCCAAAACCCCTAAGAACCGAACCTGGTAGGTGAGTCCATCCAGGAATCCAAGCTGCTGTCATGTGAGCGCAGCTGGAATTCGTCAGGAACCATCAAGCAATTGCGCTGCAAGCTGCATACAAATGGTCAATGGCCCTAACAAGAAAATCCCATTGAACTACTGATAACATAAGGAGAGTGGCTTTCGTTCTTTTTTGAGGATCCAGGTTCATACATACATTCGATAGATGTAAGTTGGTCACCCGCAGGCCGCGGAACCAACCAAATCCTTTTTTCTATAACAAGAACCTTGGTTTGCACATCCCAAGTCAGTACCCAGAATGTGCCCGGAATCGTCGAGGGTCCGTCTCTGCTCCTGCTTGGCTGCCTCCAGGCCTTTCATCTGATAGGACCTTCGTTTCACGAACTCCTCCTCACTCCGCTGCTGATAGTGATGCAGCTCGATCTCGGTGGGGAGCCACCAGCGCATCAACGCGCAGCGCCTCCTGTAGTCTTGGTGAGAATATGTGAGAACTGGAGCGTCTCGGACACTCATTCAACCCTTCGAGAATCTGAATTTCAATGGACCAAGATGGACCAAGCTAAGCTAGGGATCTGGTTGTCAAAGGTTGATCCTTTCTCAGCTTCTAAATGGTCTTCTCATCCGAATACAAAGAATCTGTCCAAGATTGAGGGGTCCAAGGGGTGCAAAGTGGATTCAAACATGTCATGTCAGGTTGTCCCCAAAATATACACTTCTTGAATATTCATGGAACTGGAATGTAGCCGCCTGCAAGACAATTATCCTCGACAAGCAGGTGGTGTTCCACTATTCATAAGATTTTATAAGACTTATTGACTTGGAGTGTAGTCGTACATAGTCCATAACATTGTAGAGGGGAAGTTCTTTTCTGGCTATTTGGGGGAGTCACTTCTGAAGGCTCCGATGATTTTGGGAGTGTCCTTCAAACACGAGCAGGGACTTGCAATAGAAGGTCCTTTGGCCATACACACAAGAGAAGGAATAGAAACTCACAGGCCCTTCCCAAACGCAACCAAATGGCCTAATATGGATGAATCATATACCTCCCTTTCCCTGGAGAATACAGGTTAACCATTTCCATCTGCTCTATCGATCCAACCACGTCTTGTGGTTTTGCCGCAAACTCTCTGGTTCAACGGTAGGAGCTGAATGCACAAACAAAGTTCAAACAAATTTACGCCAAGCATACCTGAGGGTCGAAAGCCCAAGATTCTATCCCTTGATCTCTACCATCAAGGAACAAGTTAGCGAAAGCTTCAAGGTCATGGGAAGCAAGTGGTGTGGGCGTGCCTGTCCTTTTCGTCGCCTTTCGGCAGGGCACGCCCCACACTTGTGCCCATGTATAGTCATGAACGCACAGAATCAAGAAGCTTTTGCGGCAAGCCTGCAGATTCTCCATCTGTTCATATTTAATGGCGAGCCCAATCCCCCCCCCAAAAAGGTGTTAAAGGTCATCCACTAACGAGTATGCCGATACATGGATCCATATGGATCCTAACCGCCCGAACCCAACGTTGATTGCATTCCTGTAGTTTCAGCATTGGTTGCAGATGTTTTGTGTCTTCACGGACTTCCCCATTCAATTTAGCCTAGCTATGAAGAAAAATACCTCGCGCATGTGGGAGTCCCATCTGTCTCCTGCTTTCGCTGAAACATGAGCTCAAGTATTCCAGTGGGCTGCTGGGAGCATTGGAGAGCACCGCCATCACTTGCAGCAGCAGTAGGGGCAACGTGCCGAAGCCTAGCCATAGATAACGCTTGCAGCTTGGCGCAGAACCGGAGATCATCATCAGCCCAAACCCGACCACGGCATCTGCGGCTGCGAACCGGGACGCCAATGTTCGCAACAGACAGCGGCGAGGAGGTCGGGCTTGAAATTAGGCCGATGAGTGCTGCCGCATGCTGCCACGATGTTTGCGCAATGGGTTGATTTGTTGTGACAACTGTTTGTGGGTGTCCAAACATACACTCAACATGTCAGTGATATGCGGAAGTCGTGTCAGAAATGACATGTCTCAAGCATTCTCAAGCAACTCCAAATGGTCTGCTGGGGTTTTCGGACCATAGGACTGATTGGCTTGCGAAAAAAATAAAACTAATTAAACAAAAACACGATTCACAACTTTTTGTTGGTCTATCTTCAATGAAACTTTGTCTCTTCTCCTAAACCTGGTCGATGCAGGAGGAGAGCAATGATCTGACCAAACCCATAGGGCCTATATGATTCGTAGCGGTCCAGGTATGCCTTCTTTCCGGCTGTTTGCCCGGAAGCTGAACGTATGCCCCTTAAGTCGAGGTTTGTTTCCGGAGAATTGTCGGGGATATCCTGGGTCTAAAGAGCCTCTGGGAAAAGGTACGAAAGGGATGAAACTACAATCGCCATCTGACTCCACATGGTCCTCCTGGTCACCACTAATCTGAGGAACATTCTTCTTTTGGAGTCCAGGTTGAGTCGAACTTGCGGTGACATAAATATCCAACTGCCAACGGTCATACCAACAGCAGTCATACCAAGAACAGTCGTTTAGGAGTTGCTTCACAAAAATCTCTCAGCCCAAAGAAACAACTCCTATTCAAAAGAAGTGGACGTTAGGGCAAATCCAAATATATTCAATTGATCTGATCGGCACTTGGAAGATGGTAATCAACAACCCTTTCCTTCCAAATCTGGATCTGTTCCCACCCAAACCATACAGCGGGGGTAAACCATGCTTCGTCTCTGGCGTTGCTTGAAGGAACTGCCCACTAGTAGACAGCAGGTGACGTGGTTTGGGGCGCTGGATTGCGGCGCTGGAAGAGCTATACATCCAATTCCCACTGACTAGGCTACTGAATGGCTGGCTGGCCGGGAACATGGAAAAAATGGAAGGGATGTTCATCCATTTTCAACTTGGGGCAGGGGCACAAAGAAGCTGAGTGACTCCATGTGCATGTCAACAGGAAGAGCCCTCGGTTTGTGGACAGCCTCCTGATCACACGTCCGCTACTAAAGCACTGCAGCACTGCGTGGTATCGTCGTACTTATCTTGTAGCCAGAGTCTTGGTCTCCATCCCCAAACAAAGCGCTCTTGGTTGGACGCGTTTTTTTCTTTTTCGGTCTCGTTGACGTTCGGATGACGCTGGGACCGTCGTCCTCGCAATCAAGGGTCGTCTCCTCTGCAGAGGCGAATGGGGTGGGTCAAGACAGAGGTGGTGGGGGGAGACCAGAACCTGCACTGAGAGGTACGTGGATGGAAAATGGCCCGGTTTTGGGGGACGACCATGGCCTTTCCGAAGACCTGTTTCAGGTGGCAAACTCTACGGAACCAGGATGATTTCAGGGAGTGTATCAAACGTTCTATCGCGGTCTTCTTGCCGTAAGCTCCCCTTGCCTTGCAAAGTTTCAGAACATGCAAGGCTTCGGTGGGAATACACGGGGTTGCTACGTATAATCATACTCTATGCCGCAAATCCAGTGAGAAAAACACCAGTGATTGAGAAAAAAAAAAACTCGTGTGCAGTGTGCAGGATGTCAGTCTTCAACAGCCCTGTTTTCGGTTCAAAAATACACAGCAAATATCAAAAAAATCTAACACAAACCCGCGATTTGCCCACCAATCGTCAGCACCATGTCGTTGAGGTGCCCTTTGAATGGGCTTTCATCTGTTTTCATCAACCAAACTCAATCATATCATCATATCTTCCATTCAGCACCTGAGAAGGATTGACCCACCAACTCCTCGCGCAAAATTCACTCCTTGTGCGGATGGGTCACTGCTGGGCAGCCACCCATACATTGTTGCTGACAGGACTCCCAGCAAGCGAGACCAGCCGAACACTCCTCTGGAAAGAGACCAGGCTGTCTCTGATCAGAACAGATATGTCTCCAGACTCAAAAGGCCCAAAAACATCTCTCCCGCCCTGTGTGATATGTAGCCTGTTAATGATTGTTGATTACAATACATCAATTCCCCATGTGGAGCTGTGAAGCCTTTTTGGTAGAAGAGCTTTATTCATCAACAATCTACGCTAAGAAGTGCCGAACTTACGCCAATCTTGGCCTCCCAGACTCAGACCCGAGTCCGGCTGTTGCTCCACTGCACGAATTCGGTGGGTTACAGGCATTTGGTCCGTGTCCTTGGCATCGGCATCATATGGACGTGCTATCAGACCGTTTGGGACACGTCACCGACCCGGCGTGGCGCTCCGACCCTTTCGAGGGGTGCACCGGTGGTGCCCAACGATCGAGCGCACGGGTGGAAACCCGTTCGGGGGCGTTTGCCCGGATTGAAATACACAGCCATATCCCAGACACGACGATCTTGGGACTGCCATCGCCTATACACTGCATGGGTTTGGGGGGTCAATGTAGGCATATATGGCAGTCCCATGGAGTGTCTGGGATATGAGATCTATTCTGCCTGCTTGCAGAACCCTGCAAATTGCCCTAAGCCAACTCCAACTAGGACCCCCCTGTTGGCGTTGATGCCACTTGCTCAATCTCCAACACTAAGGAGAATGGCGTTGATGCCACTTGCTCAATCTCCAACACTAAGGAGAAGGGCACACACAGAGTTTCTCCTTCGCAATTGTGTGACATTGGCATTGATATCCAAAACTTGACATTGATCATGTGACACATGTGTGTTTTCCCTTTGATCCGGCACTGGTACACCACCCATCGAACGAAAAACGAGGCGGACCCCGTCTACCTGTTGAGTGTGGCTCCTGACAGGGCCTGCTCCACAAGATCTTCTCCCGTTCGATGATGGAGAAGGTCGGGGCTAGAGGCCATAGGAGCCAAACGGCCAAGTACTGCAGCCACTCCACTCCCCAGCGCAACCCTGTGCAGCCACAAGAGGATTTGCCTCGGAAGGGTCTGTTGTCCAGGTTTTGTTGCGGTTCAAACAGGGCGCTTGCTTTCACACACATAACCATTCAAAAACCAAAGAAGAACAAGGACGTTCGAAGATCCGGGAGTTGTTTGACTGGCAAAACCCGGTCAGTTGGGTCACATGTTGGGTCGGTAACCGATCCCTCAAGTCATCAAGTCATGTGGTCACCGATTCTCCCTATCTTCAATGCACGGCTACATGGAGAGTGTGAGTGGAAAGGGGGTCAGTTGGTCCCCTGAAACTCACTACCCTGGAAGGAGGGGCCTCTGATTCAAGAACATGTTTGCAGTCATGGCACTGTACCACTACATATTTACAGTACCACTGTACCACTACACTCCAATGGTCTCAACGCGTCTCAACCCTTTGCTCCATATCTCTCCCACAACATACTGCGCTGTTCAATGCTTAATGTTTCAACTGTAAGAACTGCGATGAAGTCATTTACACTTCACCTTACCCAGCCACATGTCGCCGGGACGGAGTGTATGCCTAAATAGTTGGCCGACAAAGAAACCAAGCCGCAGGAGTCTAAACACCACAGGCACTGCAAGTTCCGCAAGGGATCTGCAGGTCGCTGGGAATCCAGATCGCCTGAAGAGCGCGCCAGGCGAGGCGTTGAGGCTGGGCGCGGCCACATGTTTCCTCTGCCTGGTGGTGGCTAGTAGCCACATGTTCGACCGAGGAACAGCCAGATTTCGGTATGTCTTTTGGTTTATGGAACGATGTGAGATGTGCCATACTCAACTGATAGACTCTTTTCGTTGGCAAGACCAAAGGTTGTGGAGCCCGGTGGTCATAATGTGCCTTTCAAGGTTCCCACTAAAGTAGAGAGACACTCCAGCAATTGGATAGGAAAAGTATTCCAACAACTGATGTTTAGGTACAGGAGCAAGAGAATCCCTAAATATATGGAATTAGCTTTCCACTACTGGTTCTACATGCTTGAAGAGATGTTGCAAGCGGTTTTCGAGCATTGCCTTCTCCTCAAATGAGGCAGGCCACTGTTACTGTATAGCCAGGAAGCTCTTCTTGATACAAACAAATATTGACAAACAAATGTATTCATTGAACCTCTAGAGTCTAGAATGTACGCAAGGATACCGATAGCTGCCCAAGAAAGCATGAGACGCCCCCTGGTATTTGCCTATCATCTCTCAACCTGTCAACAATCTGTTGGTTAGGCCTGCAAACAGCAGCAATCAAGCAACAACGGCAAAGAAAGCCCTTCGGGAATCTTACAGTAATATATTTCCATGAATCAAACATTCATTAAGCTAGTTACCCATTCATTCAAGAATTATATAGGGTAATTTTGTTTATATGTCCCCAACAGCAACACACCTGTCAAACGAGCAGATCTCGAAGAAAATGGTCTAAATCTCCTTCGGAACAGGATTGACCCACAACGAAAACGAAAAAACTCCAAGCTGAGAAGCTGTTTTCGGCTTTGTTTCGGGTCTGAGTATACTGTCCGAGGGAAACCTACCGCATCCCAGACCGTGTTAACACACCTCCACTTCCCTTTCCAAACCCAGCCATGGGACTGGAATAGTTACCTACATTGAGGGTCATGTTCATGGGGTAAATGATGGTAAATGTATGTGAATGTATATGTCAAGAAGCTACTAGTAACAAAGGGCATCGCTACGAACGGAGCAAGGACGCTACCAGTGGCTCCTGGCCTTACTACTAGTAACAGGAAGCTACTATAAAACATAACATAACATAACTATTCCAGTCCCATGGATGGTCTGGGCCTCCGTTCATGGACATGGGCCAACCCTGTGACCACCCAACCCAGTCTTATTCGACTCACCCGGCTCCAACTCCCGCCGTGGCCAAGACAGCGCTAACCAGGTCACCATAGGGCGAAAGCATCTGTTGAACTTCCGGACTTCGCTGGACGGCTTGGTCGGTCATGAGAGCGAAATCCTCCCAGCAAAGGTCTTGAACTTGATAGAGCTCATCCAGGTCCTATGGACGGAGTGCCAAGTACATCTGACATCTGTGACAGGGTTAGGATGTACTAGCATGTGGTACACACACACACACTGGGTCGACTGGTTTTGCAGGTTTTCGATACGGTGAGTAGAAAGAGGTGGTCGAAACCTGGATGAAGGCAACTCTGAAGGCTCCATCTGAGCATGAGTATCATATACAGGCGATCCCCTAAACAAACGGTTCTTCGTCAGCTGGTAGACAAACACAACGTCAATGTACTATGAGATGCATGTGTACGTGCATGGTGCCCCAAAGCTCGGGCCCAGATGACTTGCTCCCGTGATGCGCCCTTTCTGAGCTCATGTTTCTTCGCTCATCCACAGATGGACCCCAGCGTCTTGCAGTCCGACCTTGGGAACAATAGAGGGGGTCGATTTGGTATCGTACCTCTTGGTTGTCTCCCCTCTATGAATCAACCAAAGGCAAGGGCGTAAGAGGACATCGGAGCCAACCAGGTACCCTGGTTTTGACCCAAAGCCCTATGAGGTGGTTCAAAGGGACACAAAAAACGCGGGAAATGAAGCCCTTAGCCATGCAGGCGCTTGGGCGCCTCGGACTTCGATGTGCCCAGCGCTGACAGTAAGGAGTGGATCTTCCAGGTGCTTCCAGGGCCAGCGGAGAAGCCCTGTCGAGCGGTGTAGCGATCTCGCTGCCTGGGCCGAGGCTTAAGGAAGCAGAAAGCAGCAGTAAACCTGGGGGTATAAGGTGTGTGCATGGCAAGTCAGTGCGTGGCTATTGGTTCAAAAATGGGTGAACTTCAAACTGAAAAAACCATGGACTCCCCCAGTTTCCCCTGGAAAAGAAAGGACTATATTACTTATCTTATTTATTATTAGTGGGGACACTGGAAACCAATAAGGTTAAAGGTCCTCATCCACTGACTAGGCGACAAGTTATGAGTCATTTTAATTAATCATCCCAGATTCTGCCCTGTCACCAGGCCTCATTCGTCGTAGGTCTCCCGGAGCAAGATCTTTCTCCTTCCTCACAGCGGATGCGATCTGCACTCAACCCACCCAACTCACCGAAACTGAGAGTCTCTTCCATGGTCCTAAATATGTTCTACCGCAGAATTGCACATATTGAACTTGTTTTGACACCATGTAATTGCTTCTCCGTGGTCGTCGTCGTCGTCGTTGTTGCTGCTGGTTCTCTTTGTTGGTGGGTGGGTGGGTGGGTGGGCCAGGGAGCGGGCGAACGCGATGGCATCCGATTGCCAAAAAAGCAAGATCCTTGGAGTTGATGTTGGATCCCAGACTTCACACAACCAATCCGGGTTTCCGTACATGGCCCCATTCCATCCCATTCCCCAATATATTAAAGTGCACGAATATATCCCAACAGTCTTAAGACCTTGGATTTGTTGATTCGCTTAAGGAACTGGGAAAAATGACACATATTCATATTCCCCACAAATAAGGGGATTTTCCCATAGGCAAAACAAACAAATCAACCGCCAAACACAGATCAGGGAACATAACCTTCCAAAAAAAGAGTTGTGGGTGGGTGTCCATCATATTTGTCCGCCAAGGTCACTTATTGCGCATTCCCTCGCGATCATGTCGACCTCATTCTACTGAATCTGGCTGTTCAAATGCCCAACAGACTGTATATGTTTCATGAACTAGTACAAGACTGCACCTTCCAGCCAGCATGCTTCCTTCACACAACCCCCCAAACCCCACACCCTTCACACCCCCCCAACCAAATACCACACCCACGGAAACCCAAGAAACCTCGTCTCCGTCTCGATCTCTCGCCCCCCACCGGTCGCCAGCGTCCGCCGGGCGGCTTCTGCTCGAGCCGCTGCATGCTCTCGGGCGAGAAGACGCCACCTGCGGCGGTCCGGCCACCGGGTTCGCGCGATCTGTGACCGGAGGCGCCCGGTGGGTGATGTTAGTTCCCAAGACTTGGAGGCCAAGCAAGACTTGGAGGGGTCTTCGAGTCTTCAGCAAGACGGAGAGAATAGCAGGAGAGAATAGCAGGTGCATGGGTGCAGTTTTTGGAGGTGGGTGAAACCAGCCAAGATAGCCAGGCGAGAGAAGTTGGGTGAAATAAAAAGGACTCAAAACGTGGAGCCCACCGTCGAACTGGGTGGGTCCCAAATGAGTTTCGATGAGAATTCCATCAATTGAATTCCGAATTCATCTACCTGGATCCTTCTGAGTACCTTCTGAGTCCTTGAAGGACCCCAAGTTATCCCATCTGGAAAGGAGAACGCTCTGTCTTGGAGGTCAACTTTACCTTCACATCTCCACACAGGAAAACCATCAGCGGCGGGTCAGAGTCAGTCCGTCGTCGGTTTCACATGGTTTCACGACAGTACAAGGGGCAGTGATCGTTATGGATGTTGCCCATGGTGATGACATCAGCATCCTCAGGTTCCAGCTCCCGCTCTTCAGGTAGGTGGTGGCACTTCTGGTTTACGATGACCATCCACAGCTGAGAAAAACAAGGACAAGAACAACGAAAGCCATCAAACGACCTGGACCATTCTGCTTGGGTGTCCTAGCTGGAGATCTAAGTAGTGGGCCGGGTAGTCCAGGCAGGACACTCATTGGAGAGTCTTGGTATATATATTATATATAAATTATATATATAACAATATGCCATTACCAAACTGTCGGTTCGGTTCTCTCCATCTATTCTGTGTAAAAAGACTGCGGCAATCCCCCTTCATGTCCTATGCATCCCGTGGTCTTCAGGCTGCCAGATCAAGAAGCACTTCAATCCCTCATTGCATCTGGGAGTTTACCACAACCAAGATCGAGGGATAGATGATTCATCCAAAAATCAATTAACGGCCAGTTTTGGAAATGGTATGGGAAACTTACAACCTACATTGAAACTCAGCCTACTTCCCCCCAAAAAAGATGCATATACTGTTGAGGAAAACAGCGGAAACCTTGTATCTTCCATCATGGTCGCACCATTGTCACAGGGGAAGGACACTCTTCCGAACCAAGGGAAGGGTCCTGTGGAAAGCCGCATCACTTGCATCCACATGGGAAGGTCTAGCACTTAAGGTCTGCGCATGAAGTCGGAGTTCGTGACCTCTTTCAAGTCTCTAAGTGAACTCTTTAGGGACTTTTTGTGACCTCAGCCACTGGGATCTAGAATGAGGTCTAGAAGGTCCTGGAATATCCTTTTTCAATTCACCGCAAAGGAAGGGGAAGCATCCCTGTCGGTTGCGACAGAAAGTACTTTCCAGATACAACAAATGGGACTCCCAGTCATCAACACAAAAAATGGCAAAGTTCCCAGGTCCAGAGTTCCCAAAGTTCCTGTCTTTCGGAGGTTCGCAAGTTCGGTGCGTTTGGGGTCCATGACTGGCCATTCATTAACTTGTCCAGTTTCTTGACCCTCTGAGCTCAAAGGATTCATCATGATTAATCTTCTCGGATTCCGAGCGGATAGCACGAGCGATGGCCATGGCACCCCCATGGCCAAACCTCCAAGAGTGTCCGAGTTAAGCCCCCACTCAACCATATTAAAACATGGCATTTGCAGATGTCGGATGGTTCTTGAATCCCTAGGGCTCAAAGTACCTTCGCAGAAGGTGGGACTGGGGTGGGTGCCAGGAGCGTCCAAATACCTTCTGAGGAGGTACGACTGGAGCCCTATAGGAATGTTATTGTTATATTTGAAACATAGATCCGCAAGGCTCTTTTGGCTCTTGCGCTCGCCGATAACTCTGTTCGTGGCCGCAAAATGCATCTAATTATGAATTAATGGTTGGGAGATCCGCAAGGGTCAGAACATCCGCAAGGGTCAGAACTTCTCGTTGCAGGTAAGTTGACTGACCACCGAGTCGCTGGGAAACCTCGTACAGGTCTTAACATCCGAGTGTCCTGCTGCGTGGCGAAACCGCGGCCGTGTGGCGTGGCGAAACAGCCTCTATTTGAGATGCAAACACATCACCCAGACAATCCATGGGACTGCCATATATGCCGCCCCATTGACCCCGACTTCAACCACCCCAATTGATCGGCATATATGGCAGTTTCATGGGTCGTGTCTGGGATATACTGGTGACCACATCCGAGTGACCTCATCCTGGGATCTCAAAAGTGCACATTGGTCCGACCGATCATGAAGTATATGATATCCATCACAAATTGGATGACAGGTCCAACCACCAGCACCAATACGTGAAGCAGGAAAGCCAAAACAGCATGGAGTTCTTTCCAACAGCTACCGTCTAACTGCGCAGTCTCAAATACTTCTACAGCCACCTTCATCGACCATCAATTCTTCACCATGCACATGAGGTCCTCCTCCCAGATCATGAGATATCTGGCGCCCTTGTCTTGCGCCCAGCGTGCAGCCTCTGCCAGCCGAAGCAGGTGTCGCTGGCAGGTGAAGTTTTCGTTGGCATACCTGGGCGGTCCACACCCATCAGATGGAGATCCACCACGGACGGAAGAAAAATGGAGACGCTGTGCACTGATCGTGTTGCTGTGGGTCTATTATATACCTTGATTGAGCAAGTGTACGGAACGTAGATCAAAGTCTGTTGTTGATGATTTATGTGGTTTACTGATTGATCACTTTCTTTGGAGACATTGCCATGCAGTGAACCAATCAACACTGTGCACTGTGCACTTCCTCCGCTCCGTGAATGAAAGCTGTAAAACACAGCAGCCAGCTGGAAGCACACATTCAATAGCAGTTACAAACAGCATCATTTAACACACGAAGACACTCCAAGAATCTCCAACAGTGAAGTGGAACTTACTCGACATAACTATATAATATACATACCTAACTAATATATGAATTACTTAAGTTATTTAAGGCCTTGGGAAGAGGTTCCTTTACAAACAAATGATTGAGTTTCTCCACTCAGAATGCTGACGTCGTCCGAGCGTAAGGCCGCGCCCTGGTCGAAGGTGACGGTCATCCCTGGTCGACCCGAAAGATAAAGGAGAGCAGCACGGGAAACGTGGGAAGGGAACGGATGACTGCTTCCAAAGAATTCACATGATTATATTCTGGAAACGTTTGTTTCTTTCATATTCCAACTATATATAATTACAACATGATGCTGGATTATGAAGAATATTGAACAAATTAATGGAACATTACTGAATCATTACCCGAATGGCCCAATAAACGAATGCCTCTCATGCCCCAACTCAACGAACGCAACCAACCAACGGTCCTACCCTTACCGCTTCGCTTTTTGGCCGGTCAAGAGGCTGGGCCAGGTGCATCCGCATTGCCTGGAGCGTGTTCTGCCATGCGAGGTGGTGAACATGGCCGGGCCGGAGGTTGGTGGGAAGATATCCATAGACCAAGTGGACCTTGAAACCAATCTGCTCATATTTAGTGGGGAAACCAATCCACCGAAACATGGTTAAAAGGGTATCTTAGATGGCGAGAACGGCCTGAATGGGACGGTTGAACAGAAAAGCACCAGGCAACGCCAGGGGTGCGACTTCTGCTTTTATGTGATTCCCTGAACACAATTCAGCTGGGTGGCCCTTCCTTTTGAGATCACTCATGTTTCAGTGGACTCTCCCACTTTTCTCTGGGACTAGTCTTGAACAATGCCAACATATCCATATCGAGACATGCAGCAGCCTAGTGAAGCAAACTTGTCTTGTCCCCACCGCTTTCTTGGTTCCATAATACAACACTGTTCAGGAAAGAAACATTGGTCGACACATGAAACAACATGAGCAAGTTACAGGATAGAACTTTCAGCAAGTATGTAACCGTTTTGTGGGTGAATTCCATCGTTTCTATCAACTCCTTAACAACTCCAAGCTGGACAAAGACCTGCACCACTGAGGCACCACTGAGGCGGGTGAGTGACCAGTGAGTGACTATAGTGGTTCCTGCTGGACATCGGTGCCAAAATGGGATCAAAATGGGCTTAAGGAAACCAACAGATCCTGAAGATATCCCAGATGTTCTTCGATTCTGCATTCCCCCCTACGCCGGGTCCCATGCGTTGTTGAACCGTGAACCGGCCGGTGACGTCCCCAAAACCGGGATCATGATTCTCTTGTTGGATGCCGCAACAAAACATGCCCGAAAGGAGGAACGATCCCACCACCCGCAGCACCCTTTTTTGAGCCTTGGATTCCAGTGACTCTCCATAAAACAAGGTGTTACAGATTCTCCACTTTGAGTTATAGGGTGATTCCCAGAAGGATGCACTGTTGAATCATGGCTAAAGGTGCAGTGTAGGGCAGTGTAGGGTATACCATTACCCATCCACGGGGAACCCACCGATCCACTCTCCATCGACCGGCTTCGAACCAACCGGAGAAGCTCAACCACCGGCGTAGAATCCAACCGCTCCAAATTCCATCCGACGTACTTTCCTGCAGTTTCTCAACAACCGACCTGGCTCCCATTTGACTGATCCCACCCCGCCGGTGACCAACCACAGATAAACCCGAGCTCGGCAGGGCACCGAGTGGACGGCCGTGACGTTCCACTTCGCCGCCACGTCGGTGAATCTCGGCACCGAAGCGAAGCGCCGGTTTCGGCGACGAACCGCGGAACTACCGGGTGGACGGTTCTTCGTTACGGCACCGGGGCGTCACCGGAAAGCGATACGACCACAGCGGTCTATACCGTCATAGACTGCCCGCCCCCGTGGCCGTCACTGACGAAGTCGCCGACCGCGCGGTGGGAGGGCCGAAGCTGCACACGGAACGACGTTCGGGCTGGCGCTCATCGACTTCCAACTTCATCCGGACTGGCAAAAAGGGCGAAGCTGAGTGCAACAAAGACTTGCAACCAAGTGTCCGTGGATGTCCGTAAAACATCTGTTACCGAAGCAGATCATCTGCTCATGTTTCGTGGGGAGTGTGCCACCACAGTAGATTCAATCCCTAGGGATCCAAGTACCTTCTCAGGAGGTGACGTGTTCGACACTCTCATGTAGGTGCCATGAGGGTCCAGTCGTACCGAACCTGAGGTTCGGTACGACTAGATCCCTAGGGAATATCATCAACCAAAGCATCTAGCATGTCCGCCCCTTTAGACTCCTCCTAAAGCACCAAGTAGCAAGTCCCCTCCATCGCTCAGCAAGTAGAAGGGCGCCTGGTTCTTCGGGTTGGATACCCCCAAACCATCCATGGGCCTGGAATTCTGACATCCTTGCATTCATTGGGCACACATGGCATGAATTTATGATAGAACTATTTCCATGCAGGGATGGCCCGACAAACTGCAACACACCGGTTCCACCATCGCATGAATTCCAAGACTCCGCTCTGAAAACCACTCAAAAAGGATGTGATCAAAAGGGTCTCCTCCAAGAAAGGTCTCACTGGCAACCCAGGCACTGAATCAAACTTGACTGGGCCGGGACTTTGGAAACTTTAGAATGGATGGGTTATGATGGGTTCCATGTTGTTTCATGCGAACAAGGTGTCGTAACAACATGGAGACTTTGGTGTCGTAAACCACTTGTCAATGGACATCTCATGACTGAAAACCCATCTGATTCCTGCTTCTCGGGCTTTTGGCACGGAACTTTCACACCAGTTCTGTGAAGAAATCCGTTCTGCCCTTGCAGAGCGGCCCCTGTTTGAAACAACACAATCAGTGTGTCTTACGTGTGTCTTCACACCCTACCAGGTCATTCTCTTGAAGTCAATCCTATCTTCCAAACTTCCAACGTATGCTGCCCATCATCCCGGAGTAGCTTGAACATGGCACAAGTCTTCTGCGTTTTTCCCACAATCTGCTCATTTCATGTGCTCCACCAATTGGACCTCCTACGACCACCGTGCTGGGATGGCTCGGATGAAACATCGGCGCGTTGCCGCGCTCGCCATCCACGCCTCCGGGAAGAACCTCCGGACGCTGGCAATGGAGAACTCCATCCTCCGGGAGACCTGTGCGGAGTGGACCAATGTGCCAGTTACTATACCGCTACACCCTGGAAGACTATACCGCTAGACCCCGAAAACCACTGGTTGGTAGAGGAAAACAATCGGACCCAAGGGGGCCAGCCAGTCAGGGTCTATGTTAGTCTTCGGGAGTGACCTCTTTTTGTTGCGATCTGTTTTGCCTCTTTGTTCGAGGTGGCTTTTCTTTCCTGGGGGGGCAAAACATGGTATTTTGCAGGCTTTTGATCATGGAAGAAGTCCTTCTTTCAACCAGGAACGAAGGCTGTGCGGACCCAAGATAGGCCTGAGACCGTGCCACATCTCCCTCGTGGTCAGCGTGTGGTGCCAAGCCTTTGAACACTGGACGGATTGGACAGCTGTAACTCTTAGGTCATGGTACTGGTAATGGTCTATGCTATGCTGCACACTATGTTGGAGTCAACCAAATGCCTCCAAGACCACCTAGAAACCATAGGAATCTCTTCGGTATATATCTTATTACCAGTAACCGTGGATGATGGTCGGTCTCTCCGCGCCCGGTCGGTCTGGAAGTAGAAGGCCAAGTCTGTTGGGCTCTTCAATGGGATCCAGTCATGGGGCATCTCCAAGAAAACCTCAGTTGCACATCACATCTGTTCACCTCAAGTGATTGCCTTGACAAAAAGTTGGACATATATATATATAATATATATATATATATCAGCAAAATCTTGAGCCGTTGAGTATCATATATCTCCGTGCCTGGCACATATATTCCAAGTGGTCACCGGAACATGCTGCTTGAAATGGATTCTTTACACGGCCGGACTGGGCCGAGTCCGACTCGACATGGGGTTCGAACGGCGGGGGCCGTCGCTCTGAGCACCCAAAAAGCCCAAGAATCTTTGTATGCAACGTTGATGAAACATCTTAACTGTATATGGAATAACATGTATGTTAAAAGATTGGAATATCATTGGAATATCATCTATAAGAATATTCATTCACCCATATGTATGCATATTTGCCGTCCCATGGATGGGTGGTTTGTTCCAAAAGCTTTGAACAAAAATGTTGGTTGCAAAAAACACCTTCCAGACATGTACAGACCCATGGATTCTTGGGTCACCCATCATCGCACCCAAAATGGCTCGGGTCGCAGTCCGGTCCCAAATGCATCCCACGACTGCGACCCGAGTTGCCATGTCCCCTTTCCACGGGCATGTGCGAGCATCGGCTCACATTGAATTTGTCATCGATATCTGAACAAGACTCATTCATCACATTGATCCACCAGGTATATCCGGGTATGCGACTGCTTTTGCATATCAAAGGGTGGGGCAGCGCAGCTATGACGTCCAATAGGACCGAGTATCACAGTCACATGCAAACTTCAACCCACTCTCCATCAACTCATTCAAAGCTCCAGATTCTGGTTCAAGAAGCATCTTCCTTGCGATCAACCGATTGCATTCCCTGCAACGTAAGGTACAAGGTGTAGACAGCAATCCTGGATGCGGACATCTGCTGCCAACTGCACACATGGAAAGAAAGGGACTGGAAAGAAAGGGACTGACTCGGGTATATCTGTCCTTGTTTGGTGATTCTGGCTAAGGATTGCTCTTCTGTCCTTTTTGAACTTTTTTAGAGGCAAGCAAACAGTCAACTAATTACCATGGGCACGAATGATTGAGGTCTGCCTGTAGGAACATGAAAACATACGAAATCCGTGAACACCCAAGCATTGAGAACTCATACATTAATTATACATGTTTAAAAAAAACGTGCCGGTCGATCCATCGCGGAAGCAGCTGTGTGTTTCAGTACGAAACAACGCTGCGTCCCTGTTCCAGCCACGGTGAACGCCCTGCACAAAGATCCAAAGCGAGATCGTCTGGAAGGTAAATATCACATGACTTGGGAGGAATCGGTTGTGTATTCCACTGGGGGCAACTATACATGAAGCATATAATATGTACTTATTTACTTTATAATGAAACGCACACATTATACCATATATCTATTATATACCGTGTCGTTTTCGCTGGGTGCATTCATTTCGAGAACAGACCTGTCTGGTATCTTGACATTGAAACCTCTGACTGACTCAAACCGGGCACTCAATTTCGCCACCCAAATGCCACCCCAAAGTGATCAACCTCACCTCCATAATTCAACAGCTAGAGTGGGCAAGTCACCAATGTATGAGGCGGGTTTTGCTTGGAGTACCATTTAGGAATCGCTTGGGGTATTGTTGCGGCACAGGCGCAAAGAACCGTTTTAAGAGCTCTCTACGAGTACCTCAAAGCAGCTAAGGATCAAGAATACGATGGCAAAAGATTTGCGCAAAGATGAAAACATGGCGGATAAGCAGCTCAGCGGCTTCAAGCTGGCAGCATGTGTGCAGGTGTCTTTGGTTGCCTGGCATTGCATAAGAATGGCTCCTTTAGAATGTTGTCATTGTATGTCATTGCAGAACATTCTCTGCTCTTCCTGGACTCTGGTTGCTTCAGCTTGTCTCCCTGAGTTATGTTGGCCGACAAGCTGGGTTGGGGACGAACTCCCCCAGAAGCTGAGAGATTTGTTCTAATTCGTTTGAATCGACCATGCACCGTCACCATGCACTTTCACGATTTCTCCAACATGTTATATAGGACTCCTCATTGGGGATCTGCCTTCAAGAGCTTCCTACTCTTCAGAGACTCTCGGATCCAACACCATGGACCATGCCTTCTTTTTTCCTCCCTTTCTTGTTGTTCACAACAGTGTGTTGTAACACCTGCAACGCGGGAAACTCGTAAGACCATCACATGAGGTCCTGGGATTTCTCAGTTGAAGGGTGACAAACCCTTAAAACGACGAGGTTGGCCAAGTTTCGCATCTTCAGTTTCGATCAGGTGCATTCTCGTCACTTGTGGGTTGTTGTCGCATGTCATGCATGTCATTTGAGCGTCTAGCAAGCTGCGTTCTGATGGTTCTTTTTCCAATGCATGCCTCGTGATTAAAGGAAGCTAGCAACAAGTGCCCTTGGATGCTGGCTGGGGAGCTTTTTGGTCATTGGACAAGGAGTGAATGACCTGCCATTAACTACAAGTGCCAACTTCCAGCCAAGTTCTTGAAGAGCGTCCTTTTGGGTTGCGGAAGGTCAGGTTTTCGGGGCTTTCATCCTTCATCCACTTCGTTTTCTCAACCTTCCAAACAGGCACCTAGGCACCTTTTCCTCGTTCTTTCTACCCCCCCGCAGGAACTCGGCCAGGCTGTGCCTGCCGGGGCTGTGCCGTGCCCGCCCGGAGCACCTTTTCGTCCTCTCGGTGCGACGCCACGATCGAACGGAGGACGAACGCGCGAGGACGGGAGACCCCAATCCAATGCGATGCGGCAAGGCCTTCGAAGGATCGAGGTCGTCGATACCTCTTTTCGACCCCAATCCGGGCGCCCGGCCGTAAGTCGACCATGTTTCCGTGAAGCATTGGGATCATAGGGGGGTCCCGTTGATAGGATGGTAAACACCATGTAAAACCATTACCACCAAGCTAGTCCAAATTGGCAGGAACAATTATGGTTCTGGCAAAAGGAAACAAGAGTAGCTGTTGGCTGTCCGAAGAAAGGGGACACTGAAAGTTGGGATTTTGGTCGAGACAGTCTCTCCTCCAGACGAAGGCAGTTTTTGGGATGGATGGCCGGTTCTTGAAGCGTGCTCGATGGCCCTGGTACATGGCTAGCATCGAGCAGTCCGAGAACTGGCCCCTGGAAGCATGGATGACAAACCCAGCGGGCTATACCTGGTAGCCCAAAGAAAGGATCCCCGTGCATGGAGGTCAACCGAGTCAACCGAGTTACGACTAGACAGTATGCTATATGACACATGCATGAATAATATACAGTAATCTGGTTGGCGTTTTCAACCCACTTGAAAAATATTAGTCAGAGGGTCCTTCTTCATCCCCAAGTAAGGGTTAAAACAAATATCCGAAACCATCACCTAGTTATGCAACATGGTGTAAATTCCTTGGCTTATTGTCTTGGAACTAGTGAAAGATCTGTGAACTGATTGCCTCGACATCTGCCTTTCCCTGCGAAGGCCTGCATCAGGAAATCGCTGAACCCTGCACTGCAGTAAAAAATCAAGCAGTGGAATTGTGCACCGCTTCCATCTGTGGTGGGACAGTCCTCATTCTGGAGGATTCACGCTTCATTCATGCACGTGCAGTTCCGATACACGTTCCGCTTTCTCCACCTTGTGTAGGGGTGAGGGTCACCGTCTCTTTTCTCGTTGCTGCATGCCGTTCGCACGCTGTTCCCACCTCAGATGGAAAGCCGAATTGCCCCGTCCGACTGGTGGGAAGAAGAAATTCCTTCTCCGCCCACAGCCGAAAGTCGCGGGATCCCCGAATTGCCCCTGACTTGCACCGGTCTTGGGCTTCTGGAACGGTGGCGGATGGAAGAAGACATGTGGCCTTGGGTCAAGATATGTCAAAACCCTGGTTGACCACAAAGAACAGAATAGACTAAGGGACCAGGAGCATCTGACCCTCTGGGTGTCCTGGCTGCAGATCCCAGTGCTATAGGGATCAGTCAGGACACCCAGATGGTCAGATGGTCCTGGAAGGCAGGTCAACTGCAACTACGGACTCTAGGGGTCGGGGCTTTGACGAAGAACATATCCGCTCCGCCCACCCGATCGGAATGTGCCGATCGTCTGTGAAATAGGTATACGTAGCAGTAAGTGGTGCTCTGTGAGACTTCTGGTGAGTTCCCCAGCTTTTGGTGTTAAGGAGTTTCCTCTTCTTCAGCCGAATTCCACCTAATATAGAAAATTGATGATTGATGAATTAAAACACCCAAAGAGGTTTTACCATCCAGATCGGGGGGGGTGACGGAGAGAGTTTGGATTCTTCTCGGCTTCATCGCAAACGCTCGCATCCGGAGACGCTCGCCCTGCACGGTACATCGGGTGCTGGTGAGACGAGTAGGTTCGGTGCTTGCAACCATTCCCACACTGAAGCACCGGTGCACCCGTAGGTGCTGAGGGAGCAGGGGTCTTCTGACATGATCTACGATGGAAAGCTGAAATAAGATCTCATGTGTCATGAGCATCTGGAGGTTGGCATATGGAGTGGAGTCAGTGGAGGTTCCAATTTTGTTGACCGGGCGTTGGGATGGCTCCCACATAAACGTCTGGTAGTTATGTTTATAATATGCATGTATTCTAGAATCTGAGTGAACGAGCTGCTTTTATTGTTTAATGGAGCTCAAACATGGCTTTCTCCGAAACATGGCTTTCTCCGAACTTTACCAATCAATATCCTGAGGTCAGGTCTGAGTTCTAGGCTTAAATGGGCTACATACACTCCTGCTCACTCTGGCGCCGACCTTGCGGCTCTCTCCGCACTTTCTCGGGGTCGGCGGTCCTCATCACCCAGAAGCCAGCTGCTCGCAGGCACAACACACAGAGCTGCCAACTTCATGATCCAACATGGGTCTAATTGGGGGGTCCGGAAACATATCAATATCACGATCATATCCAACTAATCCAAATATCTGTTCCAAATGTGATCATGTCCATGGCCTCTTGCGGTCCGGACATGACCAGAAAGAACAAGTAATCCAAGAATGTGTCCATTTCCCTATGAAGACGCGAAGATGAGAACAGAGACTATTTATGTAGGCTTGGAAGGTCCAATTACCTTCTGAGGTTCGGTCTGTGGATCCATAGGGTTTGCCACAAGCAGGCCCATGGCCACCAACATTAAGACCCTCCGGTAGCACGGTACCTCGTCTGCCCGGTCGGTATCCTGCTGCACCCCACAGCGAAAACCCTGCAACAAACATATAGAAGGACACACGAGCACAAAACTCGATGGTGGGAAATTAAAGCGGTCTAACGGTCGACACCCCTTTCCTGTTCACATTCAATGGGGAAAAAGCCAATCACCCCAAAAAATGGATAAAGGTTATCCACTGGCTGCGTAGGTATTGGGTTTCTGTGCCATTCTGAAAACACTTGAATTAGTGGATCACGCCACATTCTTGGAAGACCCATCTTCGCTCGCTGAGCCCTGAAGTAGTCCATCGCCGGTGTGGAAGCCAAAGAGAATAGAATGACAAAGCATGATTAGGCATCATTTCAATTTAATGAAGGCATCCTTGATTACAAAATAAATACAAAATAAGGGACTTCATGTCTCCAAAAGGTCACAACAGGTGTCATGTCTCCAGGCGTTGAATCCGACCGGAACGGGGTTAGGGTCCTGGATGGCCCTGGGGATGCACGATTTCCACATAGCCCACGGCCCAAAAAACGGTTTTAGCATGTATTACAGTCCCGAAAAATAACATAGACCCTGACAATGTTCCCATGGAAGACTATGTTCCTCTACCAACCAGGGGTTTTCAGGTTCCATGTTAGTCTTCCAGGGTGTAGATCATTACATCGCGTTTCCACCCCTTCTACTCGACTGTTCAATATGTTCTTCATCTCTGGGCCGGAAGAAGTGGAGCCCGTTGTAGCCCGCAATGACTGTTCTGTGCCATGAACGGCGCCATTGGAGCTTGCAATTCGTGTGTTCGCTAATATGTTTGAGTGAATATCCTACGAAAGCTCCCTGCCACAAGCACCGAGCTATGGAAGAACTCGTGTATCTGCCTGGAGCAACTCTGGGTCTCTCAGCTGTTAGCATTGATCCATTCCGTTCAATGCTCCCGATGATCAGTCTCTCATGGTACGATGAAAGAAGTTCGTCGCAGCCGGGCGTTGGTCTCCACATTTTGGGGAACTGCTGCAAACCCCAGGCGTTGATCGTGCGGTCACATGCGGTCGCATGCGGTCGCTGCAAACTCGGCGCTCCTTTCAGTGGGCGCAAAAAGAAAGAACCGGGCTCCTTTCATTGGACACCGAACACTGCAAAAGGAAAAGAACATGCCTGAAAGGTTTGTTTGGAAGAAATGGAAGAGCAAATAACAATATTTGGGGTAAGCAGGTTGACAGAAGACATATTCTGGCAATCCCTGCTAGTCCAAGACAAGCACTACTCCACTATCCACGGGAAATCTATGGACATTTGTCATGCAGTGCTCAGAAACACTTTGACCATGAGGGACAAGATGGATCATCGCATTCCCATCTAAATCCCTTCTCAATCATCCTCCACTACCTTGCGCCGACGACAAGTGCCGTGGTAGGTCGTGCTTTGGATTGGGAAGGACAAGCGGCAGCAAATCTTCCACCAAGGAAACCCTGCACAAGGACAACAAAGCACTTTTGCATGGAAGGCCTTGGGGGGTGTTGCAAAATTAGGCAGCTCCCAAAACCACAAAGCTCTTCTCTCCAGCATCCAACCAGGTAGTCTCTCTCGAGATGC